AAAGTTTTCAAATTATACGAGTATTATAGATATTACTTTCACTGCCTACCACTCGTAACACGATATAGTAATGATAAATTTAAAACTCCATAGGTTTTTGTTGTCAGGCGTATCATATTATAATTAAATTGTCGCCCTATCTGTAGGGTGAGTGGCCGCTCCAATCAAGCTCTATGCTGATTTGATTTGGTAATTGCCATTATTGCTTATCATATTAAGTATGACCATATTTACCAGTACCGTTCTAAATTGAAATGGCTTCCAATTCGTCAAAGGCATAACTCCCGAATTTTACTAGCAGTATATAAGATTTTAATCGACACAAATTCTCTTTCTTGTCTTGAAAATAACTATCAATATCTTTATTCTTTTCACGATATATAGGTAGTTTCTTTTTACCAAAATAGTCTTAAGCTTCAAATTCCGTCGCATAACAGATGTTTCTTTAATTACTCTTTTTCTGTAGAACCAGAGTAAATGACATAGCCGAACGGATCAGCTTGATGAACTGAACCGGCCATGTAACTTGAAGAACTGAAAGCTAATGGGGAATGAAGGTTCTCGAATGGTGTACTCGTGCTGGTCTGTAGGGTGGTGGTTACAGTGACTTGCATGACAATCAGATTTCTTTTTAATAGGCACCTACAGAAATAGAACGATGAATGTCTCTTTTTGCTCTGGGTATTGTTGATAGCACATAACACATTTATTGGTTTGAACTTGTGATTAAACTTTTATCTTTGACATTGAAAGATGATAGAATATTTTATAGAAATTATTATAAAGTCGTATTATTATAAGTTAGTTATGGTTGTAGCACGAATGGGTTGGCTCGACCGGAGTTCTCACAGAATACACTTTAACACCCCTCATATGCATCGGGGGTTAAAAAAGGCTGATGAGCAAAATTTAGTACTTCTAGTTTTATATAAAAGATAAGTTTTCATGTTTCAGTTTCCAATAGGTCTATAATTTCTTTATATAAATATATATGTACCTATTAAAGGATATGACAATTAAAATTGACGAAAAAGAAGGTACCTGCGGTTTCTTCCAGTATCCCATTCAAGGGAACCTTGTCTAGCCTTTGATGGGAAAAGTATTAGAGTGCTATCGAACGCCCTAATAATTTCAATGATCCAGGAATCTGTAACATCACTACTATGTACCTACTATGCGCATAGCTCTTAAAATTAATTATTTATTTATATATTAATTGATACGTAAATATAAATATAGAATATATGTCTTTGTTTTTATAGTGGATTCATGGCTGCGACGGCTTGCATTAGGGTTTAGGAGGGATGTCAAGAGACGAGAGGTCGAGGGAGGATGTTAGCTGTCATGTATCATTTTGCTATGACGTTTCCTATGTCCAATATTTTCTCTATGAAGGTTACTGACCGTTCTAAACATCTCGCCTGCCTTTGACGTTGCTCTATTTATTTATTTTTTCGATACAATAAACAAATTCTACCTCTGCCAGGTTCCTGATTTTTCTTTGATTAGTAATACGACATAATCTGACGGTTCCGTAAGGCCGTGGCTTAACATTGGCATCATATTGGCATTATATTGCGGCGGCCTCGAATCCCGCGCAAGTATTTGGATAATACAAATACTGTCTCTGGGTCTGGATGTTTGTCCTTGTGCAATTTATGGATGTAAATTACCTTCACGATACAGAAGAAAATATTAGTGTAATTTTATTTAAGAAACGAAAAAAAAATTAATAACTAGAAATCTTTTAAAATGACTAGTTATCCCGCCGTTATTAGACGTGTAGAAAACAACATAAAAAAAAATAAAAGAAAAACATACAGACATAGTCACAATCCTTCTTTAATTGTTCTTTAAAAAATCAATCCAGTTTTGGAAGAGGAAACAGAGGAACAGAGAATGCTGATTTCAGCTGTCTCGCCAGCAACGCAAAGTCAGCAATTTGCATTTAGAAAAAGCCAATTCTGAATAACGACTTCATTTTTATTAGGGGCGCCTTATCATTGCCTATATTTGTAGCACTTAATTAGCACTTAATTTCTTGCTACTGATATTTATCGTATATCTATTATCGTCACTGCGTTGCTAGCGATACATTTTGCCAACAACGCAAATTTCAACAGTTTGTTGCAGTGAAAATTTTAGAGCACCTAATTTTTAACTTTGGCACCTAATTTTGGCTTTTTATAAATGCAAATTCCTGACTTTACGTTGCTAGCGAGACATAACTGATGATTTCGTCAATTTTCATATGGACTTGTGTAACCAGTACGAGCTGCAGTTTTCTCTCTCTATTGCCTAGCTCGGTCGTTCGGGCAAAGCGCGACAGCTATAGGTCGTGAAAACTTAGTCCCGTTCTTGTATTCCGGATATCCTCTCAACAAAGATTGTACTTGTAACACTATCGCACATAGAAACAGTGGAACAAAACAATCTAGATTATTCTTTATCATTTATGAATTCCTGTCAATTTAGTATCGTATTATTCCACGGACGATGCGCTCTGACATTTTACCGTTCGAACATTATTTATGTCACAATAATAAGTTTATCGCGGGTCGTGGAGGAGAACAAACAGTCGTTGTGAGCAGCGAGGATTGTTTCTCTTCATTTAGATAACTCGAATTTATGTGCTTTTACACTGGTATCACGGCAGCTCCCCCGCGGCTTCTAAGTGAATCATATCAAATCGGTCTCAAGTATATTTCCATAATGTTTCAACATTTTGCGTTTGTATTACACATAGATATTAAATAAAACACCTAGAGTATATTTATTTAATGTCTATGTTACATTGCTGCTTCATCTTCATCATCCGCAGGTGGTAAAAGTCCGCTAATGGGTATGTCTCTCACATTTCAGAGAGAACTTGCCTTGCGAATTGACGATAGTACTACCAGATGTCCATCTTTGACGCTGCTTCCCGTCGTTTGTCTAGGTTTTTTTTATAGGATAAGGTGACAAACGAGGACACAGTCCACCTGATGGTAAGTAGTTGCTGTGGCCCATAGACAACTACATCTATATCCTCGACTACGAATCAAAATGCAGATGCATTGTCACCCGTGAGGACTAAGATGGAATGCCTTGTTTCCAGTAAAAGGGGTCTCCGGGCGGTTCTCTACACTCACCACACGAAACACAGGAGCAATAAGCTGCTATTTTACGCTGGTATTCCGTGAGTGTGGTCCTTCTGCGGTCGAGCCGATTCATTAGTGCTACAACTATACTACTAATATAAGCTGCACTATGGCTCTACCACGTCTATTAATAAATATAGGTATTTTACACCTCGAGTAAACGAAGTGGTTCATCATCAGCAATACAGCTCATTAAAGACCACCTGTACATAGGTCTCCCCGTAAATTGTGCGATTTCTGTGATTAACAAGAGTACGGTTCGGCAAAGCCTCGCTGCGATAATGCTGCTCAAATTGTCAGTTTAGGAACCACATTCGCATTTATCACTTATCACTATGCTCTTTTATTTTTGCGAATTGAGAAGGCAGGATTTTCGAACTTTTTTTAGAGCTGTAATGATGTTACAGCCTTTATTAACACCCTCATCCATATTAAAATGTACCTAGTAGTATAGTATATTTAGAAGTATACAACATGTAACAAAAACCCTGTGGTTCCCGTTAAGTACGTTATCAGGATCAGTATTCAAACGTATAGAAATAAGTTTTTTTTTAAAAACTCGACCAATTTTTTTTAATTTGATTAAATAATTTTTTTAATTTTATGTGGTTTTATTACCTCTAGTCTAGTAAGTAAAGCGGGGTCTTTGACAATCCTCGTACTCCCCAGATAATGCAGAGGTAATAAAACCATATACAATTTGCATACAATTTTTTTTAAATAAAATAAAAAAATATTGTTCGAGTTTTTAAAAAAAAAGTTATTTCTATACGTTTGAATAATGATCCTGAAACGTACATAACGGGAACCACAGGGTTTTTGTTACATATTGTATATATTTATAAATTAATATTTGGTCCCATATAATATAGTATAGTAGGTACAATATTATATAGTAGGGCTTGCAACTTTAGTCGCTTTAGTTTTGTCAAAAACTTTTGTCTTAAAATTCGACTATCCCACCCACATACACGATAGATGAAGCGGTAGACGAAAAAATATGAAATTATTTATAGGACATCTTGTTTCATTGTGGATCTATTAAGATTTGTGAATTACCATATCGGTAATCTTTCAACGTCTCTACTATAGATGTCAAATCACAAATTAGCTTTAGATTCTAACATATGGTAAAAATACGAAAAGTAATAAATATAAAAAAGTTGCATTTTTTGTTACAGGTACCTACGATCATTCTGCCTGATCCAGTTCAGCGAAAATACTGGTATTCCTAAAGCTAATGTCAAGACTGATAGTATTTTTATTTTCGTTTTTAATGATAAGGCTAGGATTTTAATTAATTAATTAATGGCACCACCTAAATTACCTTGCGTGGCTACTTTAAATAATTTGTTTTGTTGAAGGCAGGCCCTATATCAATTTCAACAAATTTATGGAAATAAAATAAATAAATCTTAATCAAAGTTGAAATATGTGTTAAATTGATTTAAATTGTAAGTTTATTATTGTTAATTTATGATGAATGTATTATGAAATCAGAAAAATTATGATCTCAAATGTTTAATGAAGTATATGAATATGGTGTCATTTCTGTGTTGTATTTCTTGTTTCTCAAGAGTGAAGAGGTATTATGTAAATACGAATTATCCACACACATTGATCCAATTTGTTGTTTGTAACTGTAAGTTATCCGAGTACCTTAGAATGTTTTAAGGATAGATATTATTAGATATTTTTGTTATACCAATACAATACCAAAGAATAAATAAAATAGTTATGTATATGTAATGGTAATTTTATTAATTAAAAACTATGTTACAATACAAATAATTATATTAATCTTATTTGCTATAAATACATTTGCTTCACTCGATATTTCTTGTTTTAATACCTCTCTGGTCATTCAGTGGGTGATATATTTTGTGCGGCAGCCACCAGCGTGTCGTGGATATCTTTTGCGTACGAGATTTGAAGTCGAACTGTGTTTAAATACTGCGGGTACGTCAGCTGAGTCTCCTGCAAATATTTATAATTTTTTTAATAAGAAATGTTTTGAAGGCTTTCTTACATTACAGTTACACATGCTTCAACACCTAAACTACGTAGTACTATTATTTATTCTGTGGCTAAACCCAAAATAATTAGTTATAAGCCTTTTTAGGGTTCCGTACCTCAAAAGGAAAAAACTGAACCCTTATAGAATCACTTTGTTGTCCGTCTGACTGTCTGTCAAGACCCCTTTTCTCAGGAACGTGTGGAGGTATCAAGCTGAAATTCGTATCAAATACTCAAGTCTCTGTCCCTTGGACTTGTGAAAAAATCAAACTTCTAAGCCAAGGCAATCAAAAGGTACAGCCGTATATGCCGCAAATTTTCGCAAGGGAATCAAAACCTACAGGGTAATTCCCGTGAACTCAGAATCTTAAAATTTGGTACGAAGCAACGTATTATAGCACAGATAAAGGAAAAATTGCGAAAAGCATAAAATTTTAGTTACATCATATAATAAAATTATTTTAATAATTTTTAACTTATATTATACCTATGGATTTGTTCGGAACCCTCGGTGCAAGAGTCCTTGGGCGGTTTTTTTTTGCAAGTATGGATGACTAACGTGCACACGGTCCATTTGCAGGTAAGGGGAATATGAGGAAGATAGACTTCATCTATCCTAAGATTAAGAATTAAAACGCAGATGTGTTGAAACCTCCGCAAGGTTTAAATGGAATGCTACGTCGTTTACCATACGATACACAGCGGTATTATGCTACAATTTTACAGCGATATTTTGGGAGAGTGTGGTCTTTCCCCGATCAAATCGACCAATTCGCGCTGCAGACATAATTCTGCTCTACCACGCAGCAGCACTTCTCCCATGAGAATATGTAATCCGTAAGCCAAACCTTCGAAGACAATGTCAAACAGTATGAATTTCGTACAACCAACTTCAATATAAATTGTTAAAAATAACTCAAAAACTATTTGTCAGACCTTGATCAAATTGGCAACACATGAGAAGCACCAGCTTCCAAATAAAAAAAGAATCATCGAATTCGGTTCAGCCAGAAAAAAGTTATGACGTAACACACATGAAAAAATTGTCGAATTGAGTACCTCCTCCTTTTTGAAGTCAGTAGATAAGTGAATGAAAGTACAAATTAGTGATTTTATTTACTTTTTTGTTTCGTGGGTACTTTTAATTTTTAAATTTAACTATTATAATGTAGTGCTTGACTACTCTTCTAACTGATGGTACGATATACAGTGTTAATGCGCACTTGCTGTCTTGCTTTACCATACCATTTTATACGTGGGAGAGCCATGCTGCTGCTATATTAGTAGTATAGTTGTAGCACGAATAGGTCGCCTAGACCGGGGAAGAACCACGCTCTCACAGAATACCAGCGTAAAATAGCAGCTTAATGCTGCTGTGTTTCGTATGGTGAGTGTGGAGAACAAGAGACCCTTTTTACTGGAAAAGAGGCATTCCATCTTAGTCCTCACGGGTGACAACGCATCTGCATTTTGGTTCGCAAACGAGGCTAGATGTAGATGTCTGTGGGCCACAGCAACCACTTACTATTAGGTGGACTGTGTACTCGTTTGTCACCCTATCCTATAAAAAAAAACTGACACCTAGGCGGAAGTGGCTATGCAGGGGGGCGGGGGGGGGGGGCATATAGGTATACTCTTTGACAAGAAAACCTCAATAATGTTCAAACTTAAAAATATAATGAAACAGGTGCGAATTTCGACCACTGGTATAGAGATAAAAACACGAAAGTTTGGATTATTATAGTTGCGGTAGTTGTGTGATGGTTAACCAAAATGCTGCAATTTGTGGTTTGCTATTTTCTGCCCTTTAATTGACTCTCATATATTTCATCACTATTACACTTAAGCCGGCGGGGCGCCAGACTTCGCTTGAAATTGCTTCAAATGACAATGTCGCTATATATGTGAGACGGGTATTAGCTGCACATAGTTTTAATACACATTTCTTTACAGTGTGCCACCCAGAGTCAACTTTTCGCGCACGTGTAAAACGAAGTTCAAATTTTGGGTAGTCTACCAATTAATTAAAAAATTTGCAAAGTTTAGTAACTGGTAACATCCTTGCCGCTGATCGGAACTGTTGTGAGCGTCAGTCACAATGGAGTAACGATGCTGTTATCGAATTCTATATTCTATTCTATGTATATTACGAGTATGTTATATTCTATTCTATAAATATATGAATTTGCTCAAGCTTCTTTAAGCAATGCCGTCTATTTGGAATTCGAAAAACAGTAAACATAAAAATGGAAACAATGTTTTCCTTCACCGCAGTTGAAGGCAATAAAAACAGAGATACAGATAACTCATCTCCGTTTACTTTTCGTTCTGACGACATACTAAAACAATGTGCACTGTACCTGTACTAAAAATAAGACCAACCCGCCATCGTAAGTTTTTGATATGAAAATACTATACATGGTTCAAACCGTGAATAAACGATGATGGGTGGAGTCGTTACATGTATATATATATAGCCGTACGCGCTTCTCACACGGCCAGTACCTACGTGGAGTGTCTGCACTGTGCAGTGGAGGTGCACGATGCAGGGACGTGAGTGGCACGCGATAGGAGTTCAGCATTCGATCGAGGAGTATATATAATGTAACTATCGCTTTTAATTTATTTCGCCGCTTGATGGCGTAACATAGATAACTACTACTACAACTACTTAATAGCGCAGGTTGCAGACGTGTCTCTGTACTCTCCGATCCTTATCTGCTTGTATCAGAACAAGCAAAACTTGTTTTTTTTTAGAATGTCTTGATTATTTGTACCTGCAGCTATAATAGCTTAGTATAATCTTTATATATAAAAATTACGTGTCACATTATTTGTCCGCGATGTACTTCTAAACTACTAAACTGATTTTAAAGAAATTTTTCAAACTGTATGCAGTTTGGTCCAACTTGAGAGATAGGATAGTTTTTATCCCGATAAGTGACCCTTAATGTTTTTTATTAGGAATTTAAGGGTTTTTTTTTTGGAGAAAGGGTCATCTCAGGAAAGGGCAGAACGACGTCTGCCTGACCAGCTAGTAATTTAATACAAGTGACGATAACAAAGGAGCACCCAGTACACATGTTGGTATGTGAATGCTGTGGCTTGTAGCCCATAGACATGTCTAATGTCTATGGGCCACATCTGTTCTAGATTAAGAATTAAAATGCGTTGCATACACCCTGAGGACCAAGATGGAATGCCCCGTACCAGTAAAAAAGGTCTCCGGTCCTCTGCACCCACCAATCACCATACGAAACGCTACCATTCTTTTAGATAGTCCTGCAATCACGGTTAGTGTTGAAATATTTGAAGTTGTGAAATTTCATTAACAAATGCTAGATTGTAGGATTTAACAAATTTTAAAAATTTAAACAGTACAGGAAGGTGACACCAGAAATAGAAAATATAAGAACTTGAAGGGCTAAATAGCTATGTAAAATACAGTATATATATAAAAAACTGTGCACATTGACGACTTCTAAAAGCGGATACAGAACTTGTGCTGAAAGTTCTTCGGAAGCTACCCTATTGAATAACTACATACTGATTTGAATTCTGAACTTCTACTTACATACTGTTTGCTAGAGGCTTTAGTATCATATATCATATACAAACATTATGATAAATTGTACAGAAGTCCGAAGAGCGCAAGTTGCCGATTTATTTGTGGGCTGAAATGAATTGATAAAGGTATCAATGAACTTCCAATAAAATGGCAAGAATGCATCCACAATAATGGCCGATACTTCTTTTATTTACATTTGAAATTTTCACAAAAAGTGTTTGAAGTACTGTCACCTGTATAAGTGTACAATCACTAAATCACAACAATGTTGTTAAGGCTTGTTATCAACATCGGACCAAAATAATGAAACCACACGAAGAAAATAAACGGCCAGAGTTTACTGAACTACGGGCTACGGGAAAGCGTGGGCGAGATGTGCTAACGACACCAGCCAAATCTATTTTAATTATTTATATAGCGCTCTATAACGACAGGATTTTTTTTAAAATTATTATTCGAGATTAAAATTTTATGAGATTTAAATATATGCAGGTATACAAATCGTAAGCTCATGGTATTTGTAACACATGGATTTTAAAGTTAATATAACGGGTGTCTCAGAATGTTTTTCGTTTTTATATGTTAAATAAAAAACAAAATATCAATTAAATCTCGTTTTATTTAATGTTAATTTAAAGAGCAATTCTTGAAGTTTATTTATGAAAAGCAACCGTTTGCAAATGCGCACCATTCATTTGTTCACACTGATTTAACCTGGAGCTAAAATTTTCAATAACTCGCTGGAGCATCGCTCTTGGAATATAGTTGATTTCTTCAGTGATTCCTTGCTTCAAAACATTCAGGTTGGGTGGCAATGGATTGTAAACTTTGCTTTTTAGGTAGCCCCATAGGAAGAAATCAGCAGGCGTTAAATCAGTGCTCCTCGATGGCCAATTGATGTCTCCTCGGCGACTTATCACTCTTCCAGGGAATAAATCGTGAAGACCAGCTAATGAGTCATTTGTAACATGAGAAGTGGCTCCATCTTGCTGGAAAAAGGTGTTGCGGTTGTAGCCCTTCTAGTTTTGCATTTCTGTAGCCAAAAAAGTCCGGATCATATGGCAATATCGGTCAGAATTAACGGTCTGAGTTCGACCTGAGTCATCCTCAAAAAAATGAGGATTGATAATTCCTTGACTTGATATGGCAGCCCAAACAACAACTTTTGGCGAGTGCAAGAGCTTCTGATGCAGTTCTAACGGATTCTCGGAAGCCCAGTATCTGCAATTTTGTCTATTCACATGACCGTTGATGTGAAAATTCGATTCGTCGGAGAACCAAATGTTATTGAAACTCCTAAAACGGTTTTTCATTGTCCTGCAGAATTCGACTCGTTTATCAGGATCATCAGGCTTCATTTCTTGAACAATAACAATTTTATAGGGGTGAAAAT